CATGCAGTTCCATCCAAACCTATAGTATCAGCCACACTGAAAGCAGCGGCACCGAGAGGATTACTTGCCTTATCGACGCTATGCGAAAGGGATGGAACCGATCGTTCCATTTGATCCAACTCATTCTTTAGCCACGCGTCTGATATTTGATTGGCAATGTAATTGTCCTTCATCATTACAATCTGCGCACGCAGTCTTTCCAGCTCATCTTCGTAGGAGTTTGCAAGCGCAAAGACAACAGTTTTGTCGTACAGAGACGAAGTCATTAACTCCACCAAGTGTTTGTTCTCTTCCCGTTGGTGGCAGAGGTCTTCGCGCAAGTGTGCAGCAACAGCCAGCTCTTCCTTTCGCCGACACCGATCGCTGCCGTCTTTTTCCTCCATTGCCCTACGAAGTGTGCGAGCCGTACTCAAGGNCACCGATCGCTGCCGTCTTTTTCCTCCATTGCCCTACGAAGTGTGCGAGCCGTACTCAAGGCGTCCGTAAGTTTCCCGTTGGAGAGTTTCAGCTCCGCTGTGACGATGCAATGCAGTCGGCACAATACACTGTGGAGACCGAAAAATATTTTCACCGATTCATCAGACTCTTCAGAGATGATCCGATGTCTCGCTTCCGCCTCAGCGTGCACAGCGCCTATTATGCTCATATGTATTCTTCGCCCCCTCAGTATGTGGCAAGTATAAAGCGCCCGCACACAAACACCCCCACACCCTCACAAACAACAAAAAGGAAAACATTAAGGCAGCCTCACCAGAATGAAGAGTAAGACATCATACAAAAAAGAAACGGCACACAAACCAAGCATTGGCATCATGCCACATTCGACTTTGTCATCCTCATTGCCCTGTCCATTGCGTTTGCCGCGCAGCAACAGCAACAGCTCGCGCAGCTAAGTGGCGTGCCCCTCACCGCACTGCAGGAGGTCGCATTGGGAGAAGAGCTATAACGAGGTCTTTGTACGCCGAACAATGTCGCCAGGGTGGGCATGTGCGACGGCGGCCACTGCGTCCTCGCAGGCCAGCGCGCTCACGAGAAACAGCGGTGAGCCCCACTCATCAAACACCCAAACGCCCAGCGGGCCCTGCAGCACGTCGGCACCGACAGCCTTGAAGTCATCTGGCGCCCCCCAAACAGTCCACCAGCAGCCGAAAAGCATACTGTGTGCGCGGAGAGCATCTTCCACGCTGTGGGAGAAGCGGCACCGTGTGCGGACGTTAATGGGCACGTACTCACGGAAAGCGTAAAGCGCAAATTGGTGATTCACCGCCCGCCGCCCAGAGGTGGTGGGGCCCGCAAACGCCGACAGATTCATCACACGGCACCTCTCGCCACGGTCATTCTCCACCTCGACGGATGGTACAGTTTCTTTGCTGTCATGAACACACTTATGATAAGATTCGTCACAATTAAAATACATCTGCAGCCGTCTCTGTGAGAAAACAAATAAGTCAAGCTCTTCCCTGCTAAGCCAAAAAGGAGAATCGTATTGTTGTTCCTTCGCCAGCGTTCTCANGTCTCTGTGAGAAAACAAATAAGTCAAGCTCTTCCCTGCTAAGCCAAAAAGGAGAATCGTATTGTTGTTCCTTCGCCAGCGTTCTCAGTTCCGCCAAGGAATTCTTCGCCCATGTGAGGGCAACCCCTCTAGCAGAAAGAGCCGGGGCTGTGATATCGACGCTGGCGCACGAATCGCCACGGTTCATGTCGATGCGCCGTATGTACTGTGAGTGGGTAAGTGTTGCGCGCGCAACGCTGACGCATAGTGTGTTGTCGAGCGCCTCCTCCGGTACCATGACGGGCCACAGACGTTGTGGGTTCACTGAGAGGCCCAATTGAAGGATCTGCGCCCAGGTAAGCACGTGCGCTTTGCTCTGTGAGCGCAATGATGCTGCTGCTGTTGTGATCATGTCACTCGCCCATTGCGCGAGAGGCTCCTCGAAGATAGTAAGCCGCCTCCACATTCACGGTCTGCATACAGCTTGTCCTGCACATATATACAGAGAGCAAAAGAAAGAATAATAATAATAATAATAATAATAATAATAATTAGAGTAATAATAAATGGGAAAGGAAAAAGCATTTGATCTGACAAGAGAAGCAATGAAAGCAGCTACAGGAGCCGTTTGTGTCTTGCGGTGCTACCTCATTCCTCACAAATACAAGAACGACTACAAAGGATCACACAAGAATCACCTTCATAAACAAGCAAGTAATGGCACTCACACACGTAGATAAAGAAGGCGAGAAACACGCACACGTACAAGCGTATATGTATATATATATATATGTATACATATATATACACACACGTTTATGACGCCAGACCGTCAGTAGAAGTTGGCATCGATCAAACTGCACCTACTCACTCACCAAAACTTAGTGAGAGGCGAAGGCAAAGTATACCACGGCGTGCTCGAGAGAAGAAAGCGAAAACAAAAAAAAAAAAAAAACAATACCAAAAACGAAAAGGCAGAAAAAAAAGACGAGAAAATCAAAAATAAAAATAAAAAACGACAATTCAAATAATACAGTCACACGAAATGAAAAAGAAAAAAACGAACAAAAGAAAAATCAGCGGTAAAGAAAGGGAACCAGAAACAAGAAACATGAGTGAGCATCACAACAACTACCACACCGCCAAGAAGAAAAAAAAAAGGGGGGTGTGGGGAAACAAAACACAGCGTTCTCACTGGAATAGGGGTCATCAAAGCGCCGCCCACACGTACACCTGCGTGATTAGCAAAAGAAACAAGGCATGCCAGGATCCAGGAGATGTCGTTGTCCATGGCGCAGATGAAACGTCTAGAAAACCGATCATGCGATAGGAGGAAAGGCATAAATTTGGGTTCCACTCCGAATTGCATGGCCCGTGTTGTTGTCGCTGTTGTTGTTGTCGCTACTGTTATTGTTGTGGTTGTTGTTTTGACTTTTGGGCATTTTTTCTGCCTCCACACACACAGAAAGTGAAACACAAATACACATAGACATACAAACGCACAAATACACACACACACGCACGCACACACGCACGCACGCACAGTGGAAGAGTGAGGAAAGAGAGAAAACAAGGCATATCAACTACGAAGAAGAGAATAACCATAACGATGGCAAAGATTGGCACCACTGCACTGCGAGCAAGCAACGTCGTCAATGCGCCAGCCTTCTTATCTCTCTTCGTTGCATTTTCATCTCTTCCTACTCCTCCGCTGGAGAGTCTATGCAGAAGCAGGCAGGCAGAGCTGCTCGACGCACCACAAGTCTCAGACAATTGCTCCATGCGGGTAATGCATTGGGGCGCTTGAAACAATGTTGAGTGGGTTCGTGGAGTATCCCACTTTCAGTCGCTTTCCATGGAACTCATAACCGTTCATGCGGTCCACTGCCTCCTTCGCGTCCTCGGGGCGGCAGAAGTACACGAAGCCGTACCCCTTTGGTAAGCTTGTCTGCCTATCACAAATGATGCGGGCGCCGTCCAGCGGACCAAAACGCGAGAAAAGTTCATGCAGCTCCGCCGTGGCCACATCGGGGGCAAGGTAGTTCACAATAAGTTGTTTGCGGCACCTCTCATCGTTGAGCGGCAGGGGCCCAACGTGGCGGCGCTGCGGAGAGGGGTTGTAGTTGAACGCCTGATAACCGCCGGGCATCGCGGGATAACCACCCATGAAGTTCTGGTTCATGGGCGACACGCGCATCTGCATGAATTGGGAATTTGATTGGGCCTGTGAAGGCATTACAGAGCGTTGTTGTTGTTGTTGTTGTTGTTGTAAATGCTGCTGCTGGTCCTGCTGCAGCTGAGGGTCTACATAAGGCTGACGATGCTGTTGCATGTGGCGCGGCATCATCGCGTACTGCGGGTAGCCTTGAAAGGGCGCAGTTTGCGATGGTGGCTGGGAGCCGTTGGGGTAGTACATGCCGGTAACACAAGCACACACAACTGGGGTCGGGTAAACGTTTTTTTCTCTTCTACTACAGCGCACAGTTCAGCAGAGAAAGAAGGGAACAAAGCAAGAAATGAATACATTCGCTGAATCAATTCAAAAACAAAAAGAATGTATAAACGCGTGAGCCACCTCGC